CACTTAATTTATTGATTAATTAACACATCTATCTATATAATAACGCCACGATTTTAGTAGGCCATTTAATTTATTGATTAATTAACACATCTATATACATAATAACGCCACGATTTTAGTAGGCCAGTGAATTTATTGATTAATTAACACATCTGTCTACATAGTAACAACACGATTTTAGTAGACCAGTTAACTTAATGGTTAATTAACATGACTATCAATATGAAAACAATACGATTTTAGTAAGTCCTTATAATTATTGGTTGACTGTAAGTTGACTACCTCTACTTTAGGTATTTGTTTTATTTACGTAGAAAAGAAACTTATATTTTGTTTTAATATTTTCATTTGTTGTGTCAGTACTGAGTTACAAATTTGACAAAATGAATAAAAAAGACGAGAAGTTCCAGGAGAGATTATTGTAGAACAAGAAATGATTGAAAAAGAGGCGGGAAAGTGAAAACCTAAGATATAAGTAACCATCAGAATTTTTTAAAGTCTCCAGGCCGCTTACAAGTGTTGGGACACTTTAGATACAGATGTATCATTGGTGATTCTGGAGAAAATTTACCCGGTGATGCCCATTTCCTCTCTGTCGTTAATTTAGCAGTTAAAGATTAGAGGAAAGGAAGCTAGTCAACACCACCCACCGCCAATTCTTGGGCTACTCTTTTACCAACGAATAGAAGGATTAACCGTAAATATATATTAACGATTTCTTTTCTTTTTCACCAGAGTTGAAATTGAAAAGAGAACCTGTGACGTAGAGGCCCAATGCATTCTTTGATTGGCTGTATCCTTTGCTGTGGACTGTAGGTTCGCCTATTCAATGCTTATTACCATGAAATGTAATAACATTATTCACCTAACTAATTTAATTTAGGTTACACTATGGTGAAGTAAAACGGACTCAAAATGCCATAAATAGTAGAACTGAACGTTACATTATAACGCCCCTGCGGCTGAAAGGGCGAGCCTGTTCGACTACGGGGATTTGAATCTGGGACCCACACGTTGCGAGTCGAGCGCCCTAACCACCAGGCCCCAATCATCAGAACAGAGGATGACAAAGAAGATTTTGGAGAAAGGGTTCGACACATTTTCATGAAATAGCAAAGAGGTTAATAAATAGCATATGAGTAGTTCTTCGTCCCACACTTACTCACAGATATAATGAAATAGGAGTTAAAAGTAACAGTTATTGTCAAACTCTCGTGTCATGTAAAAAAACTCTGCATTATTTAAGATTGGCATCTTTTAGATTAACCCAAGCTCAGAGTGTTAACGAGTTAAATAATTGAGAATGACATGTGGTAGATTAACCCAAGTTCAGAATTTTAACTACTTAAACAATTAAGAAGGATGTGTGTTAAATTAACATATATCAAGTTCAGAATGTTAACTAGTTAAACAATTAAGAAGGATGTGTGTTAAATTAACATATATCACGTTCAGAATGTTAACGAGTTAAATAATTAAGAATGCTATATTTTAGATTAACCCAAGTTCAGAGTGTTAACAAGTTAAACAATTAAGAATGATTGTTTTAGATTAACCCACGTTTAGAGTGTTAACAAGTTAAACAATTAAGAATGTCATATTCTAGATTATCCCACGTTTAGAGTGTTAACAAGTTAAACAATTAAGAATGTCATATTCTAGATTAACCCAAGTTCAGAGTGTTAACAAGTTAAACAATTAAGAATGTCATGTTTTAGATTAATCTTAACGCAGAATGTTAACTAATTAAACAATTAAGAATGACGTGTTTTGCATTAATTCTTGCTTAGAATGTTAAGTAGTGATACAATTAAAAATTAGATGCCTTGAATTAAGCTCATAGTATTAATCAAACTGTGCGATAACGATAATGAAAATGGTATACCGATTTATAGAGTACCAGTTCGTACCGGTTCTTGTTCTTCTTGCTGGTTCCCAGTAAGAGATATTCGTAACTTAACCTTCATTGCTTCACACAAGCTAATCTGCGAAGATGAAACAAAATAAGGTTCAGTCTTTTCTCTCGAAAACACGAGTTAGAAAAAATATATCAATAGTAATTTCCTTAGTGACGTATAAGAACATCTTACTATTACATAGGGCAGGTATGTTAAAGAACAAAACCGGAAACTAGGATATATTTAGATATAATAAATTTCCGCAATCTATAAAGATGCTATTGTTCTAATATTTTAATCAGAAATTATAAAGTTGTTTAGATATTACCAAAAACTTCTTCAATCTGTGCAAGTACAACTTTACCAGTTCCCACTTACGTAGTGTCAGATGTTATTGATAAACTTCTTCAGTCTAGTAAAGTGCTACTATACTAATTGTGGTCTAGCTATATAACTATAGTTTCAGATGTTATGATAAACTTCCTCAGTCTACAAAAGTACTACTGTACTAGTTGTGGTCTAGCTATATTAGAATAGTTTCAGATGTTATGATAAACTTCCTCAGTCTAGTAAAGTACTACTGTACTAGTTGTGGTCTAGTTATATTAGAATAGTTTCAGATGTTATAATAAACTTCCTCAGTCTACAAAAGTACTACTGTACTAGTTGTGGTTTAGCTATATTAGAATAGTTTCAGATGTTATGATAAACTTCCTCAGTCTAGTAAAGTACTACTGTACTAGTTGTGGTCTAGCTATATTAGACGTTGTTCGTGAATGAAGTTGTTTCAAACATCATTTTTCTTCATAATGTTACAATTTACTCACTTTTACACGAGACGCTTCGGCTTTGGCTTTGAAACAGAAATCAAGTAAGGCCACAAGCATAGCTATAACCAATCCACCAATCAGGATGAAGAAGCAGCCAGCTACATTACTTAAAGTAAGCTCGTTTTGGGACGAATCCTAGAAACAATAGAATATGTTAATACAGTGTAACACAAAGCCAACATGATTAATCCAGATTCAATGTGTTCTAATTATGCTTCTTTAAATATCTATTACAATTTATTAACAAGGTTAATTCGTCACTCTTGTAATATAGAGACTCAATAGAAACAAGGAGCAATAAAACTTCCAAAGGACGTACAAGAACATAAGTTTATAGAACAAACTTTTCACTGTCACAACTACATACACTGTCTACTTACGTTTTCACTGTCACTTGTACATCCAATATATAAATATATATATATATATATACATATATCAATATCCGTAGTTACTTTCCAACTAGTCCTTGTACATCCAGTAGATATATATATAACCCTACTTACTTTTCCACTGTCACTTGTACATCCAGTAGATATATATATATATATATATATAACCCTACTTACTTTCCACTGTCACTTGTACATCCAATATAAAAAAATATATATAAATATACATATATCAATACCCGTAGTTACTGTCCCACTGGTGCTTGTACATCCAGTAGATATATATATAACCCTACTTACTTTTCCACTGTCAGTTGTACATCCCCTACATATATTTACATACCACTACTTACGTTTTCACTGTCACTTGTACATCCACTACATATATTTACACATTACTACTTACTTTTCCACTGTCAGTTGTACATCCCCTACATATATTTACATACCACTACTTACGTTTTCACTGTCACTTGTACATCCACTACATATATTTACACATTACTACTTACTTTTCCACTGTCAGTTGTACATCCCCTACATATATTTACAT